TTTTCTCTGCCTAGGTGTCCTCTAACAGGTAAGTTATGTATAATTTAAAGTAGTTTAATTCTTAGTTTATTAGAATTAAAAATTATAAGTTAGTTATAGTAATATAGCTTACTATTTTAGTTTTTATAGTTAGCTAGTATTACCTTTTTTAACTAACTAGTGCTGTTTTAGAGTAAGTTTAAAGTTTCTTAAATAAATTTATTATTTAAATACTTATTAGTAATAATTTAATTAATTATCTAATTTATTTTATTTAGGTTAAAGTTTAAAAATAGCTTAAGTTAAAGTAAAGTTTAGTATTAAGCCTTTTATACTTCTTTTTAAGTAAAGATGTTTTAAAATTACCTTATAAAGGTATCTAGTTTCCCTCTATCTTAACTAGAATAATAAGTAATCTTAAAATTAAAACAGGACAAGTATTTAAACTAATAAGCTTATTAGTAGCTAAGTTATTTTATAGTTATAAAGTACTATAAGTTCTTATAGTTAAATAGAACCTATATTAGATGCGCTACACCTTCTAGTTTAGGTTGCTATTATTTAAAGCAGTGTACTATAGTAAGTAATTTCTTATTATAGATTTTATAATTACCTTTTATAAGACTTATTCTTTTTAAAAAGTATATAATAAGCCTAATAGTCCTGTCTAGCTTAGTCTAGAAAAGAACTCTTACTACTACATAGTCTAAGGCATTAGCTTTTATAAGTATTAGTAGTTTAAAGTTAAAGTAGTAGAGTATTAGAGCTTTAGTAAAAGCTTTTTTTAGCTAGTTAAAAAACTATTAGTAATTTAAGTTAAAGTTAAATTAAATTTTTTTTTTAGTAAGTGTAATTATAAAGCTTACTTACTATAAAAAGTTGTTAATAAATTATTAGTAGAAGTTAGTAAATTTTATAAAAGCTTAAATATTTTTTATATTCTTTAAGTATTACTAATCTAGCATAGTCTAAACCTTAACAGGGTTTATTTAAATGCTATTTATAAAGATTACATATTCTAAATACATAACCTTTAATTAGTAGAACTTATATTTGTTTATATTAAGTTGCAGACCTACTTCTTTTATAGCCTTTAGCACTAGGTGTACATGCTGTTTATGCTCTAAAAGGCTATTACTATAGATTAGAATATTATTAATATACGCAGTGCAGAACATGTCTAGGTAGGGTTAGAGTAAGTTATTTATAAAATGTTAAAAAGTACTAGGCGTGTTAGCTAAGCTAAAAGGCATTACTAGGTACTTAAATAGTTTATATTAGGTTTAAAACACTATTAGCTACTTATTACCTTTTACTATTCTTAGCTTATTAAAAGTAGTAATAATATCTAACTTTATAAAATACTTTGCTTTACTTAGTTAGCTTAAAGTTTTTTATAAAAAAAGAATTAAGTATTAGTTTTTAATAGTAATAGTGTTTAGTTCTTAGTAGTTAACATAGAATTAAAGCCTACCTCTAGGTTTTTTTATAAATAGTATAGGTAACACTACTAGTAAAAAGCTAGCTTAAATAAACCTTTTTTTTAAGTTCTTATTAAGGTATTTTTAGAGCACTTTTAATTTATTTAGCAACATTTTATATAGTAGCCTATAACTAGGTTATTTACTAGGCTTAAAAGTTATTTAGTAATTATATAAACATTATATTAAAAGCTTATTAGACTTGTCTTAAAAGAAAACATATAATAGGTTGTAGTAGTCTTAAAAAACTATTATCTTTAAGTTAGTGCGTTTTTAGAGAGCTAAAGCTTAGTCTATATTAGAAATTATAACTACATAGATTTTATAATCTAGTTATTAAGCTAGGGTTATAAACAGAGTAGGTTTTATATAGTAGATGTCTATTTACTATTTAAGTCCTAGTTTATGTTTAAATTAGGTAAGTAAAAGTTTTTTAAAGGCTTTTTTTTTTTTAAGTTTAAGCAGTTATTAAATTATTTTATATAGCTTATTTTAGTAAGAGGCTTAGCTTATTAGCCTTACTTAGGTAGTTCTTTTCTAGGTTATTAGAAAGTAAGTCTAGAAACTTTTTATATTAAGTGCTATTTAAGTGTTGTTTAGGTGTAAGTGTAAGTATATATCTTAGCATTAAAAAGAGTTAAAGTTTAGAACTTACTCTTAGTAATTAAAAGTAACTTTATGCTAATATAGCTATAGTTATCTTAGAATTAGGTTATAATGTCTTATGTTTATTACATAGAGTTTAATCTACTTTTTATAGTGTTAGTAAGTAATTATAATAGTTATAGTATAAAAAATAAAACCTTTTTTAAGTTATTTTTTATTAAATTTAGTTAAGTAAATTATTTAGGTAAGTAGTGTTAATTAAAGATTTAGTTTACACACTAGTTTTTTATTAATGTAACCTATGCTGTTTACTTTTAAGCTAATAAGAGCTTATATTAAGGCTAATATAGTTCTTTATTATAAATATATAAGAATATTAACTTAGTACTTTTAGTTATTAGTAAGGGACTTAGCCTATAAGTTAGCAAAGATCTAGTGTTAAATTAGTCCTAGAAGGCAACTTAGCTCTAGGACAAGCCTTTTTACAGGCTTTTACTGCTATAGCTGCAGCTACATTAAAAGTAGTAAAAGAGATTAAAGCTTAAACATAAGTTAAAGCCCTTATAAAAACAAAATTAAAATAGTAAAAATCTTTAATAAGTGCTAGCAGCGCTACTTACATAGACTTAAAGAAGAGAAATAAAGTAGTTTTAAAAAATATAACTATACTTACTACACTTAAAGTATTAACTTTTTTTTTTATAATTTTTACACTTTTTAAAACTAACTAAAGCATAATTTAAATTAATTTTTATTATATTAAGGTCCTTATTTGCAACTGCGCTAGTTTAGAGGTGTATTAGAGCTTGTACAGGAAGGAACCTTATGTTATTATTATAAGTAGTAATTAAGTTTACATACACATTAAAGTTGTTTAGAAGGGGTTCTCCTACTATAGCGCGTTATAGTTTAGTTAAGAGAGAGTTATATAAGGCTGTAATTAGACTTATCTTATTTAGGCCTATATTAGATGTAAGTTAGTAGAACTTAGTAAAGTGTAAAGTAAAGCTTTTTTTTTTTATTATAAAGTGTTTAAGTAACTTAGGGCTATTAACTTTTTATTTAAGTCTTTATAAGTTACTTATAGAAATGCTATAAATTAATTTAAGTTAATAATATTTTTATTTATTAGTAAGTTAATTAAGGCTGTTATATTATAGTTAAGTTAAAAGTAGGCATATAGTAACTAAAAGTGTTTAAAAAGGAATTAGTCTATATTTCCTTTAAGTTTATATTAGAGCTTATGTAAAAAGAAAAGTAGGTCTTTTTATTTTCTATTAAATAGTAGAGGATTAGAGAGTTAGTTAGATTTTATTACTAAGTTAGAAAGGTTATAAGTTATAAGTAGTATTAAATAGAAAAAAGTTAAGCTATCTTTAAACTTCTAGGTAAGCTTTAAGGCTAGTAAGTTCTTAGTTCCTACTACTATAATAAAAGTTAAGGCAGAAATAGACTACTTAATAATATAAAGCTATTCTTTAAAGTTCTTTTAAAAAGCTTTTAAGTTTATAATGTAGTAGCTTTTTTATAAAGTAAGTGCTTTTTAAAAGGCTTTTTAGCTTACTTTAATAGCTTAAAGTTATGTAAGTACTAAGCTTATTAGATTAAATTTAGAGGCTATTCTTAGCTAAGGTTTTAACACAACATAATGTTATAATTATGCATAAGTAAGGTTATAAAGCTTTATAAAGGTCTAGTTTAATTACTATGTAAGGTATTATAGTAAGTATAAGACGTTATGTAAGAAATAAAAAGGTTTAAAAAAATTAGTAATTAAATACTTAGCTTAGAAGTCTAAGCGCTTTAAGTATAAATTAAGCCTATTTTAAGTTTAGTTAGTGTTAAAGTAGTTTATGCTTAAGTTTATGTCTATGTTATGTTGTGTTTATATTAGACGTGCACTAATAATACTCTAGTACGCATCTAATACAGTTATGTCTGGGATCCGGGGAGGATACCGTGACACAGGGACCCTTCAGATAGGTTCTAAGCGACCCGAGATGGAACGATTTGTGAGAATCGTTACACACATCAGGCCTCTCCCATTTAACCCTTAACGCCGCTACTAGGAGTAGAAGATCACCCTTGCGCAAGGTTGCTGTTTATTACAGCAAAGGATAGAGCGTCTTAGGCTTAGCACCTGTCACATCTAAAAGAGCATTAACTAAGTAGATGCAATATATGTTAACAGGGTTCTAGAATAGGTAGCATTCTAGGATGTTAGTCTGTTAAATGTGCAGCTTCTGCAGTTGTGTCTAGAGCAACTCATCACTAGCTGCTATAACTCATCACTAGCTGGCGTTGCAAAGACGCTAGGTAAGACAGGACAGGGAAATACTAACAGGTAGCAGTGGTCTAGACAACAGATAAGCTAATGTATAACAACAGAATCTATAGTCTCTAAATAATTATTGTTGCTTGCTTACATTATAAGCCCTGCTTAACTAATCTGTTTTAGTTCTTAGTTTGGTGGTAAATCTGCTAGTTAGTTAGGTACGTATAGGCTAAGTTAGCTAGCTAGTCACGTGCAGCGGCCTTTAAGCAACGCTTAGAAGGAAAGGCAATAGTTAACATTAATTGCTGTTATAGACAAGTAATAAGAGAATAAGTAACTTATAGAAATAGTCTATAATCTTGTGTACAAGTGGCATAATGTTTGTAACAACTATAATAATACTAGCTTAGTTAGATAAACTTAAAATTAAAAACTACTAAAGTAAGACTAGGCATTTTCTACTCTAACAATAAGTTAGCCTAATCTTAAATACTCTACTACAGTGCTAATGCATCCTCTAAGAGCCCTTTCACTAGCTACTTCCCTAATAGCTATGAGGACTTGCAGACTAGGAGAGACTAAAAATGTATAATATAGTGAGGAGGTACTAGTAAAAGCGGGAAAGTATTTAGAAAATGGAACAATAGAATTTTAGAACAATGACTACAAATCAATGCGCCATTGGGATAGAGACCACACTATGGCAAGCTGTGTTTGGAGAAGCTACGTTTGGGGTGCGTAGGGGAGAAGTGAAGCACCTGAGAGGCTGCGGAGTTAATCGCATTGGAAGACGACCCCGGGAGGCAGACATCAGGCTCGAAGTACTGGAAGAAAATGGCTAGGTGATGTCGCAGATAAATGTGAAGACGATACTTTGATTAATCTGTAACCGTCCTTGTTCGCAACCTAGGAATCACGTGTCTTGGCAGTACGAACATGTCTACACCTAACCCAAATCCCGCTCCACCAGGCTCCACGCCACATTCAGACCGATCAAATCCCAATCCCCCAGGCCCCATTCCACCAACTACGCCGCTACATATTTAAACCCTACCCCCAAAGTGCAATGGAGCGCAACAATGGAGCAGTGGGTGCACAGTCAGCCTGCGTTATGTCGGCAAGAAACCAACAGCGGCGAGAGTACAAAGCACAGAAATGAGGGCGGTATTGGATGCAGCGGCAAATGCGGAACCTGGCGTATTAGCAAAATGAGGGTATGTATCACGAGGCTTCTATCGGTCATATACCCCTTACTAGCATAATCCGTCTCGGCAGATTCCAAGAGAGCAGTTTTCAGGATAGCGGGCCTTGGGGCAGCCTATGGATATGCATACCAGCAGAATCATAATACACATCTAGAGTTAGGATTCGGGTTGGTCAAGAAGAAAAGACCTGGAACACCATCAACTGCTCCTCAAATTCTACACTCCAACCTTAGAACAACATTAATGGCATGGCACCTACGACACCCTCCTGGCCTTCGCCACCTACCCCCGACTCCATCGCTCTTCTAAAAACCCTTTCCCACTTTCACAATCCCCTACTCTCCCCACGCCCTCATCGTTTTCTCAACCCGCCTCCTTAGGCCAAATACTCCGTAGACTTCGCCCTGCTCTTCGCGCAAGGCGAAACTAGCGCCAGGAGCACCAGGGAGACGATGCTGAAAAAAATTGGTCGAAAGACGCGGAAGTGATTGAGAGAGAATCCGGATGTGGTGCGGAAGATGCAGGATCAGGAGCAGGAGCAGCGGGATTGGTATGAGGGTTTTAGGTTAGAGCGTAGAGGGGAGGTAAGAGGTGAAGATAGTCGCAGATAAGGGATATCGGGTGAGGAGTGTTGTATAGCAGACAGACCGCCGGTGAAATAATGTCGAAGGCAAAAGCTTTCCATCTACAACTCAGTCCGCCTAATATTAGGGGCCGATGGGCCTCGATCTCAGCAACCTCATCACTTGGAATGTTTATTATTTGAGTCTAGGCCGCTGTAGTAGAAGGCAATCAAGCATTTCGAAGCCAGAACTTGTCTGTGCGTTTATCGTTATCAATATTCAGCTGGTGAACAAAAATTCATCGATGTCAATCAGAACGTTAGTAACTCTAGAATCCTGGATAGATTCGGGCTAAAAAAAACACATGGATTGCCTCCATTTACTCAGTAGCAAACTCCGCTCACTACCCAATCCATATAAATCCCAACATCTCCACCCTTGCCATAATCTCACCGGACCTCTCACAATCGTTCTTCCATGCCTACCTCTCTGTGCAGCACTATGTGCAGCGGGATCAAGAGACGACGCAGCGCTAATGCGGATGGGAAGGCCGTTGGGCGGCCCGAAACGAGGAGTACGTGCAGTGAAAGCTCCCCGCTCACTGGAACGAGCCCAAGGTTGTTATGATGAACCGTGCCCTGTAGGAATCCGCCACGCTGAGGTGGTTTCCTCCAGCCCCCTGCCTCACTTTAACGGCGGAGATTTGTCCCGCTGCCGGAAGCCTTGGAGCTTCTGCGGTTCACTCCATGTCTTGGGCAGCTGCGATTGACATCTTGCTCACTGGTCTTATTCTTCATGGGGCTGCTTCTTGTCAGCTTTTCCAACTCAGTTTCGCATACAGTCTCAAATCGACACGTGTCTTACGAATACAGTATCCTTCTGCTTTGAGCTCGTTGCCTAGGGTCTCGCACGGCTCACCAAACAGTTCCGCTGACAAGAAAATCAGTCCTCCGACACAACAAACCGAACCCTCGACGCGTCTTTCAGCTACCGCTCTTCAAGAAAGCATGTTCTTTGAGATCATATGAACGACTCTGGTATCTTTATATCCCATCATTCAGAGGATACGAAGAGTGCTTCCTGCAGCTGGCCCACCGCGTCAATGTACCTCGTCACCCATCGCTTACCCGGTATACCCTTTCAGTAACGTTCCCTTTCTCCTCGGCCCAGACGCACCGTTAGCGTATCGCCCTTACTCCCCCAATAAGACTCTGCGCAAGACTGGTCAGCTCCCATGGCTCCTTCCTTACTTGACGCGGGAGAGCGGCTTCCAGGATTGTCGGGTTGGTCCGCTGTCCGTGCAATCTGAGTCGCATCGCTCGGGAAATGGATGACTGGAGTCATGCTTTGACAGGATAGGGTTGCTGCAGAGGTAGAGTGCAGAGAAGCTTGTCTCAACGACCCAGTCGGGGATGACTAGCGAAGAGCCATTTGGAGAGCCGCTAACTGGTGCTGGATACTGGTGCTGGATTCGCTCGATCGGATCTAGGGGCGCAGATCTGTTGGATCGGGCGTTTTCAGGTCCATATCAGATGGGCCACTGAGAGTAGCTGTGGCGCTCTTGTGAACAAGTGCAGATTGGGGCGCGCTGCTTGGAATACCGCGATGAGGACTATGATAGGCGTGGCAGCTTGTGGCTCTGCGACTCTTTGATGGAATCCAAAGACACCACTTTTTGCGATGCGCGCACTTCGGATGAGTCGACTGAAGCGGCTTCGTGGGCGTGCTGCGTGAAGGCGGGTATACCATTAGCTGATTGAGACCGTGGGTATTCGGCGTCCGACCCACTTGGCATTTCATGAGCACAACGGAAAGCCTATCTTCGAGTACCAACTATAAGAGAAGGGGATATCATCTATGGAATTTGTTTATAATTTTATGCCCTAAAGACGGACATTCTACAAGTCTATCTTCATGCACACGGTAGATAGTGCTCAGTGGTCGGAATAGGAAAGGGGATTATGCACAGAAGACGAGCTGTCTGGGTCAAGTCAGGTGCAATATAGCTCTGATGACTTATCTTTAATACTACGCGGCTATTAAATTGATGGGTAGGTGACTGCTGTCGCGACACTCATTCACTGTCTTCGCACCCAAACCTACCTGATTGGGTTTAGTACGGAGCTGGCTAGGCTTATTTTGAAGCTTCAGGCCCCTCCTTTTGGAGACTCCAATCTCCACTTTTCCGCTGCAATCTTGCTCATTAGGATTTTACAAACATACCATTTCATACATGTTAGGGAATACTCGAGGATACTCTTCACAGACATGTAGCATTTCTAATATTCCAAACAGGCAGGATTTGCCTGCAGCTAGATTTGGTAGGCTCACAATACTAGCTCTAAGGCACCGTGTCATTTATGGTATTTTGTGTGTTGGTAGGCCAACGGATCTCATGTATCTTCCGCGGTGTTCAACATAGTGGTACCTGGCAAGAGGGCAGTATCACAGGGGAGAGATAAGCGTGCATATGTGACGCAGAACCCGATATTGGGTTGCTCCATGATGCAGGGGAAGGAAGAATCAAGGACTAAATGCGGAATTTTTGTTGTGCAGAGTCTATCGATACTACATAAGGAGCGGCGACAGCATGGCCTGACAGTCGTTCGTCGTACCTAACATGCTTTGGGGTATTCTCATGCCTGGTTACTGCCAGATAAATGTTTGTGCTATCATCATATCATCATTATCGTCCTACGATGCTTATTTTCGGGAGTTTGAAGGTCGGTAGGACCCTGGAGGTAGGTGATTGATGTAGTAATGGTTTTGGTAGGAATTCGAGGACTAGAGGAGCTAGGCAAACGCATCAGATTGTCCAACTGCGCGTGGATAGTGCAGTAAGGTGGCCTTTAGAGAGCAGTGGGTGAGGACTCCAGCCTAGCCCAGGCAATGGGAGGCTGCTCGCAACTCTGATGGTGATTGTATGTCGGTTGAGGAAAGGGAAACAATATGAATGCTCTGAAAGCGCTTGCTATAGGTAGGGTGCTATTTTCGATAGAAATGGTTCGTGCGAGCGGATTGGTATTTTAAAGGTTCGCCAGGTAGCCATGCCCGTGGTGATGGAGCGCCACTAGAACCTGGGATGCCCATCAGGGGTACCAGCCAAAGAATTTGCCGCGACTGATCAGTCTGGTTCTTGCCGAGAAAGAGCTCGTCAGCATACCTTACTGTGGACCAAAAAGAGAGGAAGGTTCCTGACTTGCCTTGTCATCTAGGAACAGTAGGCTAGAGCGGGAATGGAGTGAGAATGGGAGTGTCCCGGCGCTTGGGAAACATCGTTGGATGCAGCGCGCTTACTCGTGTGCTCTTCTACTTCCGCTACAACTGTGGTCAGTTGAAGAGACCACTAGGATCTAGAGGAAGCTGTATACGTAGAGGTTTTGGTGGCGACGTAGGGATTCTAGGCCCCGCCATGCTTTATAACTATGCCGTCTGTGGCGCTTGGAAGTAAAGGAAGCGGGAAGTTTGATGTGGTATGTCTTAATTGATGGGGTTGAGCGCGTCTGAGGGGATGAGTGTGGTGGTCCAAGAAGACGGTAGAAGTTGAAAATGATCTGTAGGTCTGGAACCCCCAATTTTGAGATTCGGGGGGGCCGGCCAAGGCGGATCCATGAGTTGCTACGTGTGACCTGTCATCGTGAACTGTGAGAATGCCTCGCCAACCCATACCAACCGACATTCGGAACCATCTGTCGGCCGGTCTAATAGACCCGTTTTCCACTGTTGCCCTCCATCGTCCTTTTCGTTGAGATTGGTTGGTTTGTTACGGGCCCAGGGGAAATTATGGCCGAACGTGATCCGAGGTCAACGAACACATGGAATTTGAGCTATAGATAGAAAGCAATGGGGACGCACAATACCCAAAAACTAGAGAGAATTCCACACAGGGGCTGCAATGGGCGTTTCGGAGAGTTCGAAAGAGCTTGGATGCTGTGGCCCGAGTGCATGTGCTTTGACCACAGGCTTACACGCTATTACACTTTGGGGCCCAGCCCTATCTCGAGGTGCACGGATGGAAACGAGAATGGAAGGGGTTCGAAGATTCTACATGAGAAGCTAATGGAAGTCGACTGAGGAGGAGCAGCATATAATCTTGAGCCAAGGCTGAAATGAATTCTGTGTTGATCATTAGCCTGGATGTACTTTATAGATAAAAGAGTACACGATCCACTGCAAAATATTTTGAGGTGTGGGAAACATGCTGGAGGAGATTCCCGCCTTGGCGTTGCCAGCCTTCGTAGTGCCTGAAACCACACACAAGGCTGATCGATATCGGAGTCGGGAGAAGTGGGCTGGACAAAGAAGAACTTTTGGCAGAACTTACCCTCCACCCACCCACAGCCAAGGTTTCAAGGAAGAATTTCGAACAGTCAACGACCAGTCGACGAGGCTCCAATAAATATTCCAAGAACTGCCAAGTACTGCGCTGTGATCGCGAACAACTCATATCGTGGAAGAGGTCCAACCATTACTTTCAACGAGAACACGAAAAATGTTCCAAAGGGAGCAAGGATCGCGATTTGAACTTTCGTAGAACGAAAACATGACAATAAGAACATTGTTATAGTCATGTAAAGAGGGACACATAAGCAGGTGAGTACCTCGACGATGGCAGAAATAGTGGCCACCGCAACGCCGTCGTCTCTCTCCGCCATTTCCGGATTATCTTTTAGTTTCTTCCCACGTCTCAGAACATATTCGCTGACCCACGTGTACATCGACTCGAGATTGTTGATGAAGAATTCGGTGACGGGATCTTGCCGGGCAATGTCCTTCAAAGAGCATGTGTCGGAATGTGCTGGAACTTGCTTGTAAATCTCTTCGCTTTCTCCAGTCGGCCCAAACACCTCATCTTTGAAGAGATTCGGATAATCCCGAAAGCGTTTCGCAAAGAGATTGCGCTGGCTAGGCAACTGTGCTACCTCATAGGCGAGGAGAAGGTCCTTGCCTTTAAAATTCAGCTTGCTAGTCGACGAATGCACCTACCGGACCGGAAAGTCTAGGTTTTATATAACTCACTCTGTTGTCTTAAGCTCTTTTTCAAAGATCTCACTTTCTCTGTCAACATAGGGTTTTCCTCCTCGGGGTGGATCGGGTGCCAATCTGTGACGGTGAACACTTGCTTCCCGCGCGGAAACCCCTTAATGTCCGCAATGAGATCATCACATTCTTTTCTCTTCTGCTTAATATCCAAGCTGTCATTATATAATATCCAGGCCCACTCCTCCGTATATCGTTGGAAATTGGCGAGTGCTGGGAAGGCGGCGATTTCTTTATACAGTGCGGAGTATCGGTACTTGATTCGTTGCATACTTACGGTAGCTGCCAGGGCTTCACCTGTATAGCTGGTTGGACACTAAGCGCGATTTGGCGACGGGAAAGAAAATGGATCGAAACAGAATCAGACAACGCTCCAAATTGGATTCTTGGAATGTTCAGTCCACAATTTGACAAAGCACTGGCCCGAAGAACGATTGACCTCTCTTTACTTTATGCATTCTCCTTCGAGGCTCTCCTCGCATGCCTACCCACGGAAGGATCTCGAAACGTGGAAGGAAAAACCTCTCGGCATCCATACCTCAAGTGCAATCCTTCACATCCCATGCGGACGAGGTAATTTGTTTGCCTTCTGAATACCGCGCTAGCGATATCCTTTCAATCGCTCCCAATGCGAGTGGATCGAATATTCGGTCGCATACCTCACATGTCAGTATCCTGGTAGGAATCTGCCAAACCAACTCCATCTTCCCTCACCGGTCTGTTGCTGGGAAGCTCGTCAAAGCACATGGCGATATGAATGCGCCAGCCAGCAGGCCATGCTCTATAGGTTGTTCCCCGCATTGGAGGTGGTCATGGCCCATGAAGAATCGCAAACCTCCACTCTCTCAAGATTGCGGCCCAGGAGGCAACTTCCTTCCTGAAGCACACCAGCTGAGAAAGGCAACCAGACTGTTGTCGAAAACGGTTATCGATGTCCAACCATCACCCTCCGGGACAAACCCAGGTGATTTGACTCACCTGATGCGGCGCGGACCGTTGTTGGCGATGGCAGAGGGGATGTTGAGATGAGGGAGCCTAATTTCAGCCCAGTGAGCAGATGGCGTTCCGGTTACGTTCCCGCCGGGGATGATGGATTTCAAAGGCCCCAGACCCACAAGCGACGCCTCCAGCACCCCAAACCCAAGACCAGAACGGACGAACACCAGACGCGCACATCCACGTATCTGCGTGCTTACTTGCAGGAGGCAACCGAAGAGTTATACCATGCAATAAAGTTGCACAGTGGGAACATGCCATGACGGCGTCGATCAAGCCGGTCAGTCCGCGCTCTCCTCTGCAGGCATCAGTTGCAGAAAGGGAGGGATCCAGTAACAATTGCAGTACTACCGCAAGATCGACGCGTATTCTATTGGAAGTGCAGCGACCAGGTTGCGCGTGGTCAGCTGCTCTGTATCCCGGGCGTTATCTTCGTTCACCAGCTGCGTGCTCTGGCTCCACAACATCGTCGATAAGTCGATTTAGATAGAGACGTCGCTAAAACCAGGCAAACATTTTACAGGGAAGGCCCAGTGAGTCAAAATTCAGGGAGTTAGATGTCTCCAACACTGCGGGAAGAAAAATGACCGAGAAACCGCGCCCCTCTATCTTTGCGATTCTCAGTATTTCCAAGATCGCCAGGAAATTCCGCTTCGGTCAACCACCATTGGAGCGAGGATTGACTAGGCTCGACGCCGGCTTCCCTCACTGACGTGTTCATCATCGATTTAGCATTACTCTTACGATCCACCTTCCCTTGTCCTTCACCTCAGACTGCTAGCCCATTCTGGTGAAGGATTATACTATCAGGCATTGATACGCCTGCTAAGTTTAAAAATGGCATGTCAAATATATCCTGGACCAAGGACAACACCCGCACAAACCATTACGATAGCGCACTGACGGGAGTCGTCCTCCCTCGAAGTTTTTACTGTCGTGGTCGGAGATATGAACAATGAAGATTAATGCCGTTCGCTCCTTTCAGGAAGTGTAAATTTACATTCGTATAGAGTTTCCCTGTTACCATCAATGTAATGCGGTTATAATGGAAGTCTGCTGGGGCGCAGCGAGGTCACGTTCACTCGTGCATTTGGGCCTCCCCCTTAGATGCCTCAGGACTTTCCGTAATCTAAGATATTCGCACAAGCTGCTTGCACTTTACTACTATAAGCTCTGCAAATATATACTTTAAATTTGTCCGTCCACTTTCCCTAAATGCCTTCATTATAGGTACACTTGAAGTTCGACGTTTCCCAGAGATGAGATTTTGTTGTCATGACTCGAGCCAAGAATAGATGCAAAGCTACTCGAGTCGGAACTCCAATAACATCAATCTGATATAATCCTCACTACCGCGCCTTCCGCGTTGGCGCGTTGGCTCCTTCTACATTTAAGAAGCGACGCACTCGCATACTAAAGTTTTGGGCCGACCACTCTTCCACCAGCTTTCCATTCACCCACCGAGCTTCAATACTGTGATAGTAGCTACCTCACGCTCCCGCATTGCAGAGAACAGCTCCACTTACCTTAATATTACAAGAATGCGGTTCTTGACTGGTCCTCATAGCTACAGAATATGGTCTTTACGAAAGTAAATAGTGAGTGTTAAACTGAGAAGGTTCTGCTAGCTAATTTGAAGGTAGCAGAGCGGTAGTCAGTGTGCAACTTACTTCTGTAAGCACTCAGGGGCTAATCATCTCTATGACGAGAGGGAAGGACGTTCAAGGGCCAAGAGCGGAGGCAATGTATATCCGCGCCGGACCCACACGTGAAGAGGGAGCGAGGGCCCGAGCCTTATTCAGCTCCTGTTGATGCCATATCCCAATTCTGGCGTTAAAAACCTGAGCTCCACATGGTACTAAAGCTCCCTGGTACAACCCGGTGCCCAATGCGTTACCCTGCGGGTTGTTCTACATCTACCACGCTCAAGGCTTTCACGATCCCAGCCCCCTTCCGTGCTAGCTCTCTTGGGCGGGGTGCATGCACACTGCCTTGCAACTTTCGAACGAAGCGAAACAGCTCTCTGTTGGGGACACTATATCAGTGGTTTCGTAATTATATTAAGACGGATGTTGAACGGATGTCTGCATCACGGCCTCCTACTCTTTTGTTTCAAGAGGGTTGGGCATTGCTTCGAGCGAGCGGGGATTTGTGTGTCACCCCCAACAAGCCACTCTTTCTCCCTCCTTAGGGTGGTCCAGTAACGGCTATCCCATTTTTTGACTAGGGTAAAGCGGATAGCTCTTGGATGTGTTACAGTTGGGCTCAGTGAAAGAGGGCCATTGGCCATTTCCGGTCATTTACATTCATGATCGGTGAATTCGCAGGCTTCCGGTCACTCCCAACGTTTAGACCTCGGCGAAGGCTTTCTGGCTAGACCCACCACATTCTGGAGCCACGCCATCGACATCTCTCTTCAGCCTCCCAGGCTCATTGCCTGGCTTGGCCATTGAGGGAGTCCGCAGTTAACCTCGACTAAAGCCCCTCCGGGCTAATTGTGCGACCCCTTTACGAGAAAGATCCCGGAAGAGTGAGCTCTATCCAGTTTGCAATCAAATCGTTGACAAGGCTGAACAAAGAGGAGACGCATTTCCCCAACTCCTTGGGTTCATTTTAATATTTCACTTGCCAGCCACCGCTCGAGGCTCTTCTTGCATGTTCCACGGCCCAAGCGCGATCGATTTCACTTTTCCTTCCACATCAGACAGTCTAAGGTCACCGAATAAAGAGGCTGGCTCGGGCACATCCCCTTGAGGTTGCAGCTCCTAAGCGAATGTGTCGCTGCCTTCCAATCATCACAACCGGCAGTGTCATATGTTACAGCCCCAGAGGGGAACTGCAAGACTGAGCATCTGCGGCCGCACTGTTTAGCCTCTTAATGGTCTGACTAGAGGCGGAAAGTGAGGCGAAAGACTGTATTCCAATGATAATGAGGAACTAAGCTAGCTGAATGCGGCCCCATATGCTTTGCAGTACGCGAGGTCTAACTTAACGGGCGGAGAAGCTCACTAAGACCATGGTCAGTATGGTGTTTCGAGATCATTGCTCAGGTCCGCTCGTCTCCTGCGACTCCTGCCCAGTGGACCGAGCTAAGAAATATCCTTGTTGAGATGCAAGCCTGTAGACTGCGGGCGAAGCTTTACGGCAGGATGAGAGCTGGTGAAAGGGCACTGGCAACAACATGGCCCGAGGACGTGCTTCAAGCTAGGGAGATGCAGGTTGTGCTGCCTTAGCGGCCGCTCAATTTCCCAGCTTCATTAACCTTGTCAGCAGTAGCATCAATTGTCCGAAATTTCGCTCAGCACGGCGATTCTTCTTCGGACCAGCGACCCTTGCATATGCTCTTCAGTGCCCCATCACCCAAGCTACATTGGTCTTGAGCGGCAATCAATCACTATGCAACTTCAACACAATTAGCTACCTTCAAAACAGACGCTTACACAACGTTTCGCCGCCTTCACGTTGCAAGATTTGCAAGACTTCCGACGCGCTCCTTACTCTCCCCAAGCGCAGAACGAAGATTCTTCATCGCTGATTGCAAAGCCCTCTTCAGATATACAACATTCCGCGACGCGCCAACACCCCACGCTTACTACATACCACCCGCGGGCTCCTTACTCGCCGAGCAAACACGTCTCCAACAGCCGCGCCCAAGTCGCATCCCACGTGCTCTTCAATCATCATCCTACACTCCGATCCCATTCCACACCTCCGCCCCGGCCTTTACAGAAGCTATATCTCGAAATTCATCATACTTGCGATGCAATGGCACCGAGTCACGATTGACACGAGCCAACTCCGCCATGAAGACCGTATGGCATTTGATTAGCGGCGAATGAATCGAAGGAGCACACTGATCGCTATCAGGGTCGCAGCTAGCTGAGGACCTGTCCCTTGGTACAGGAGACCTTGTTTGGACAGGGACGGCGGGACGCAAGCCCGCAAGAGATTTTGGCAAAGAGGATGTCAGAGAACCTTTGACGATTAGGCAAGATGCTGCGTTGTGTTTTGAGACGATAGTCTCAGCTAGCTAACGCCCCCTCGTTTTTCAACGGCTGGCAAATTTAGGTTTAGGGCCAACAAGGGTCTCATTCCGTCAGGTATTCTTAGGGTCGGAGGAGCGCTACAAGGGCAACACTGCATCTTTATGCACGGTCTGACTTGCGCTGCTAATGGCAGGCAAAACTACAGGTCTGGGGTCGCAGTCATTGGAGAAGGAATGGAAGAGAGGCAAGCTTTGAGCACCCAAGATTGGATTTGCAGAAGGATCTATTTGGCGACGAAGAGCCGCGCGTCTATGAACTTCGCCTCTGTTGGGAGTGCTTAGGAAACGACTGAGTGCATGCTTTGCAGGTTGGACTATTCATCAATGACATCAGTGGGCTTGTTTCAGAGATGAATTCCAGTCCTATATATATTTTTCCCTTGCATCGATGCCATCGGTGCCATGTGGTGAAGCGTGCCACTTGGACCCTGCTTCTCGCTACCAACGTCGCCTCGACAGCGTCATCACAATCATTCGCTTGCCACCACTTACACGGTTGCTGCACCCAATACAACCATCGCAGCGGGGCTTAATAATAATTCGCAGAGCCCAGACAATCGAGAACCTCTTATGTTTTCCTTCCCTTCTACAGTCGGCTCCTAAAGTGCCGTAGACACACCGCAAAGTAGTGTGTCAGCGACACTATTCTCGCAATATCCCCTTTTCTCATGACGGTATAAATCTTAGCCAACAACACAGGATCTAGAATGATTGTTCTAATGAAGAGCCCCTCAACCAGTGTTACAGATCCGACTCGTTCAGAACGAAATCCCAACCTTGTGGTGTGATTCTAGCAGCAATGCAAGACTTGGGCGCTCCAAACACCGTGAGTTTGATGGGTTGCAACAGGGAGAACAGCGGCAGTCGTGTTGGCTGGTCTCAAAGGTAGAGTTGTCCCAACCAGGGCATGGGCAAAAAGTTCGGATATGGGATATCCTGAGTGGGTGGTGGGTGTCTCGATCGTGTGCGGCTGGAAGACGTATGGGACGCTACTAGGAATGGTGGGTGAGGACTTCTTGTGAGAGGTTTCAATGGGGGTCGTATTCCTGTGTTTATGGGGCACAATAAGTATTTGGAAATTAGCTTTGCATTGCGAGAAATCAAAGGATGTAGCGACACCTGATGATAGCCTCGGGAGGAAGGGTTCTCAAAGAAATTCAACATCACGACCTGAACCCCCGAAGGCCAACACAGCGATAGGTGTGAAGAGGAAAGGTTCCAGTGCTTTCAGTGGGCAGCAGAGTCGATCTGACTTAGGTATCGTCGCGCAAACGTCGGCGGGTGATGAGGGCGATGCATGGAGGCTGGCGGGTTGGCAATAGGTCTTGCATGATAATGATTGCTAAAGCGATGCACAGCCGCTAATCTCAAAAATAATAACTTTGAAGCATTTCTCTGACCTGTTGCGATGGTTCGGTACTGCTGGGTGCGTGGTCATGGTGGTCGGTGGTGTTTGTTGTGGATTTGGCGGTGCGAAACAGAGGACGCTATTTACAGGGCCGCGTCGCTTGAGCCGCCTATGTTTTCATCGCCCACACCCCTGGCATCCACAACGGATCGCTCCTTGAAAATTTTTAAAATTATGAATCCCTTATTCTTTGTCCTCTTGTCCCCCTCGTTCTTGCAAGCCTTGGCTTTCGTTGCTTTGTCTTTCTCTAAGACCTCATCTGAGCGCCCAGTAGACGATTTGCCTTTACCATCCTCTTTCGAGTCTTTCCTCTTAGATCCTATAGAATGAGACACCAATATTAGTCAATAGGCAACAATTATAAAAGCTCCACATAGCGTACCTCCTGCAAGAGCCGACGTGCGAGGAAACAGTGTGACTCTGCACGGAGACATGTCGCGAGGTTGAAGACGGCTCAAAAGGCAAACTCCTGATTAAACGCAGAGAATTGCCACGAGCGATGGCACGATCGAGCAGACAGCAGATTTCTGCGAGGTATCTCAGAATCCTGGGAATAGATGACCATCCGGGAGTGTAGAGGTGAGGATGTTTCGACTCCAAGAGGAGAGCTCTTCGGGGCTATGACCAATTTGGCGATCACGTGTGGCGGCATGTTTAGATCCTCTCCACCAGCGGGGTGAGACAGATTCGATAGTTAACTGCCTACGTCTAGAGATCTATTGTTGTATCAGCTTATTTGTACCAGATATGGAACAGCGGGTGCGCGCAAGGTGGAAACGGAACCAGAGCACAATTGCTGACTAGTGTCAGAAGAACGGACATGGCCTAGCGAGGGGTGTATATAGGTTGGTCGAATACTCTGTCTGTCCAGCCATTAGCATTCCTATAAAGATGACTAACTCTTCTTTAGTCGATATTAGCGTCTCTCGCATATACCTAAGAATAGCGAAATTGGAGAAGCGATCGATGAAAAATCTGACGGCCAAGGGTGTTCGTGAACTTGGAATAGAAATTGAACAATGCTTTCTACATCAACTTTGTCTTGAACGGATTAGGAAATGCTTTGATACGCCAACGGAAGCCGACACGGGATAAGCGAACCGAATGAGCATTGAACAAGAGCTACATTCTTCTTCTCACACACCCCGACGACTTTACCCTCAATTTGAACCTCGGTGGTCACTCGTTCCGACAAAAATTATCATCGCCTGGAAGAAACTAGTTTGAATCAGCGCCCGTCGACTCGAATGTATTTTGAAGTCTTACGCTGCGTTTAGAGAATAGATTGGGAGTGAGTCCTTTCCGAAGAAATTACAGGTCGAGGAGAAAACCAGGGCGAAAATCGTCATAACAGTCAGTCGAGTTTGGGAGCCATCGATAGCATCCAACGTCCCAATAGCCGCAGCAAGCTGCAAGGTACAGAATGCCAGGGTTATAGCCTTGGCAACAGCCGCAATAACCCCTCCTCCAGTACTCTCTTGACTTCTAACATCGGGTGCTGAATTCGTTATCAGGCCCAGCTTTGCTAGGAGGCTCTTCATTGCCTTCTTTATCGGGCTTCCAACAAAGTCAAGGAAAGGATTTAGGAGCCTATACGCCAGTAGAGCCTCAATCGGATTAAGATCCACGTCATCGAGGGGTACGAACGACGGCGGGACAGGACCTCCATATGGGCCGTAGTGACAGATGTCTTCTCCATTCGGAGCTCGCACATCCGCTTCTTCATATCTGTTGTTTAGGTGGGACGAGCAGATTAGCCTTCCTTTCCAGGAAGAAGGGGGCTAGTCCTAATTAGGAATGATTACGTAACAGCTCGCTTACGCGCACGGCCGCCACAATAAACAATCTAACCAACCCAGCTTCACATCTCCTCCTGCCACGCCCACCAACCCACCTAACTAGGGCAGTGCGACCTTACTAGCTAATCCTAAACTGCTAAGGACACTATAGGTATATATCTTACTCTATCTGCATGTTTTAGGTTAAAATTTAATTAGAACAGCCTCTAACACTCTTTACTTACTTCTAACATAGTAGATTACATCTAATAATGCTATAATAACACTAAATAATAACTAGTTATAACTTAATAATAAGCCTTTATTACTAAAAATTAATACTAAGGTTATTATTAATTTTTAAGGTAAAGGCCTAACTAAAAGCTAAAACCTCTTAGCTAAAAAGGCTAGTGCTAATAGTAATAGTAAGTTTTACCTTACATATGTTATAATCTAAGGCTAATTAAGAAAAATAAAGGCGCTAAATAATAATAAACCTACTTTATTAAATAACATGTTATTAGGACCTACTTTTTTGCTTTTTATGCCTAATATGTTCTAACTAGAAGACACGCAGTCTTACCTAAGTCTAATAGCATTACAGGCAGGACTAAACTAGACAGTGCCCGCCCGCGCCTTTAGCTAGACTAGACTGTACAGCTTGTAGGGCAGCTAAGATTAGAGCTAGTAATAGTATAGTAAAAGTATAAGTAAATCTAGATTAATCTAAATTAATATAACTTAAAAAAAAATTAGACTAATAATATTTTTTTATAGCCTACTTTTACTTATATTTAACTTATATCTAGCTATAGAGAATATTAGTAGCAATTTACCTATTAGCTAAGTTGTAGACTATATCTACCACTGCAAGGTCTATATTTGCAGGCCTAGGGTTAATATCTGTAGGCTTAGGGTCTGTACTAGAACACTTAGTAGCCTTAACATAAAGCACCTCTGTTTGCTCTAGGCAGACTGTACCCTTTCTAGCAGCAGTTTATGCTACTATATTCCTAGTATAGACATTACAGATATAGCATAGGTTAGGCCTTGCCTGCTCTAACTCTAATTATTTTACTTTATTAAATAGATCTAGCTAAAGCTAAGTTAAAGCTAACTAAAAGTAAAAAAAAAAAAAAAATTATACTTTAGCTTAAACTTTTAAGTAGTAAATTTAAGCAGTTTAACTTTTTTATAAAGAACACTAATTTATATAAAATTATTAATTTAAAGCTGCTATATAAAGAGGTCTAGACTACTGTAAAGATAATAAGACTCTTTAAGCGCCTAATAAACTCTAAGTTTATAAAAAATTTAAACATAAAAGTTATAACAGCTTATTTAAAGTTAGTTAAAATGTAAATAAATTAAATTATTATAGTGTGTATATAAGTTAATCTTTTTTAGAATAGCTTTAACTTAGTTTTAATTAAAGTTACACACTCTAAAGCAGCTAAGGCACTAGTAGTGTCACGGTATCCTCCCCGGATCCCAGACATAACCGTATCGGACGCGTACCGGAGTATTATCGGTGCACGTCCGACACGAACACGACACGACACGGACATGAACTTAAGCACGAACCGCCTCAACACTAACTGAACCCGGAACAGGCTCGATTCATACCTGAAGCGCTTGGACTTCTGAGCTGAGTATTTAATTGCTAATTTCCTCCTGAACTTTCCTGTTCCTCACACAACGTCTTGTACCTACCATGATACCTCACGTAGTAATTGAACTAGACCTCCGCGAAGCTCTATAACCTTACTTGTGCATAATCGTGACATTACGTTGTGTCAAAACCCTAGCCAAGAATGGCCTCTGAATCTGATCTGATAAGCTTGGTACTTGCACAACTCTAAGCTATTAGAGCAAGCTAAGAAGCCTTCTAAGAAGCGCTTGCTCTACAGGAAAGCCGCCACGTTGTAAGCTTTGAAGCTCTTTGAAAGGACTTTGAAGAACAGCTTTGCGCTATTAAGCAGTCTGTTTCTGCCTTGACTCCTGTCATAGTAGTAGGAACTGAGAACTTACCAGCCTTAAAGCCCACCCAGAAGTCTGGAGATGGCTTAACTCCCTCCCGCCTAACGCCGCCTACGACCTGTAACCCCTCTGACCTGGTAATGAAATCTGACCGACTCCCTGATCCCCTGCTGTTTAACGGAAAACGGAAAGACCTACCTTCCTTCCTACGCAAGCTCCGATACAAACTTGAAGGAAACGCAGACTGATTCCCCTCTGAACGCTCCCAGTTACTATATGCCCACTCTCGACTTGACCGCGACGTAACAGCCTTGATTGACTCACTGATGGATAAGGATATTGTTAACCTAGACTAATTTGTGGCGTTCCTGCAAGCAACCTACGGAGACCTAAACAAAGAGTTAACGGCCCTAAGTCGCCTAAACACCCTACGACAAGGAAGGAAAAGCTTTACCTCACACTTTGCTGAGTTCCGCTGACTCGCATCTGATACAGGCCTGAATGAGATAGGTCTAATCGCAGCCCTACGTAACTCCCTCTCAACTGAACTGCAACGCGCTATGGTAGGAGAACCCCTCCCGAACGACCTTAACGCGTATGCGAACCTAATTGCTACCTACGATAATAACATGAGGTTCCTCCCCGTACAAGCCCCGATACGCCCCCGAACCAGCGCAGTTGCGAATAAGGACCCTAACGCGATGGAAATTGATTCGAATTATGCTCCAGTTGGTTCCAGAGAGCGTGAAGATCGCAGGAAGAAAGGTCAATGTTTCAAGTGCGGCAAGCATGGTCATATCTCCCGAAACTGCTCCGTTCCCCTTCCTTAAGTCCGCGCGAGTAGCGCTGCTAGTACTCGTCAAAGATCCTCGCCGTCCTGATCTTGTTCCCGCAAGGGCTCTGACTTGTATTTGAGCCCTGATCCCCCTCGCCACTCTTGACGTAGCCGCAGCCATAGCAGTGGGAGCCTGCAAAAAGGCTCGTCCCGGGGCTAAGTCGCCCCCCGGGACCGATTCGACACCAGATCTCTGCCGACCTATGGGCTAAGTCCCCTACTGACGACTGGAAGTACCAAGTTAATATTCCTGTATGTTTACGACAAGGAACTGTATCGGCCCCGATACGGGCTCTTATTGACTTAGGAGCGAACGGCATAGGTTACATTAACAGAGAACTGGCGCGCAAACTGAATCTCTGATTGACACCGCTTACCTGAACGATTTACCTGACTGGATTTAATGGAAAACAACTTGAAGGAGGTTCTATCTCCTGTACCACAACTGTTACGATTACCTACTGACACCACAAGGAGCAGATTAAACTCTATGTAACAAACACGGGACGTCATGACCTAATCCTAGGACAACCATGGCTGTATTGGCACAAGGTTGCCTTTAATTACTAAGAGCAAGTTCTAAACTTTAACTCTTCCTGATGCTGAGACGTATGCTTACGCTTACATCTGAACAACACCTGAATAGCACTTGATACGGAAGGTCTCCAGACCTACTCCCTAATAACCTGAAGAAGAACTACCTAAGCAAGGCTAACAAGCTGGGCCTCTCACTGAGATGGGCTACGCAAAATGATTCAACAACTGCCTGAACCTAAAGAAGAGGAAGCCTTTGAGGAACCTCTACCTACCCAATTCGGACACGAACCGGGACTCGAACAGCAGATGGACATCTGCCACATAGGACCTGCCCCGTTTGTGACCCTAGCTCGACGACCGGATCACGAAATCTACGCAGTCACGATTTCCGATATAGACCGAGCTTTAGCTCCCCGAAAACACACTGACCTGAGGACGATAGTCCCTCGAGACTACTACGACCTGTTGCATGTCTTCTCCTGAGACGAGTCTGATAAGCTTCCGATACGACGTCCGTACGATCACCAGATAACCCTTGAGCCTGGCAAACAACCTGGTTATGGGCCACTGTATGGGATGTCGCTAAACAAATTGAAAGTGCTCTGAAAATACCTTGACGAGAACCTAGAGAAAGGGTTTATTCGAGCTAGCTCCTCACCAGTGGCGTTACCTGTACTATTTGTAAAGAAACCTGGGGGTGGGCTCTGATTCTGCGTTGACTACTGAGGACTGAACGCTGTTACTATTAAGAACTGATACCTGATTCCCCTCTTACAGGAAACCCTGAGCTGACTAAGCAAAGCAAAGTATTTTACAAAGTTAGATATTATTGCTGCCTTTAACAAGCTAAGGATAGCAAAGGGCGACGAGTGGCTAACAGCGTTTTGGACCTGATACGGACTATTTGAGTACCTGGTGATGCCCTTCGGCTTAGCCAACGCGCCTAGTACTTTTCAACATTTTGTAAACGACTTGCTCTGACCCTACCTAGACGTGTTCTGCACTGCGTATATTGACGATATTCTGATCTACAGCGATAGCCTTTCGGAGCACAAACGGCATGTACGCCTGGTGCTAAAGGCTATGGAAGAAGCAGGTCTGCAACTCGACGTAGACAAATGCGAGTTCCACCAATCAAAGGTCACGTATTTAGGATATGTGATCTCTACAGATGGCATCTGAATGGACCCCGTTAAGGTTCAGACTGTGCTAGATTGGCAATACCCAAAGGACGTGAAGGACGTTCGAGCCTTTGTAGGATTTGCTAACTTCTACCGACGATTTATTGACAACTTCTCGCAGCTAGTAAGCCCTATGATTGCACTCACCAAGAAAGGGGTCTGATTCGACTTTGACCTGAATTGCTAACAGTCCTTCGACCAGCTGAAGAAAGCCTTTACTGAAGCCCCGATACTCCGCCACTTCAACCCCGAACTACCGATACTCGTAGAAGCCGATGCCTCAGACTACGTAGTAGCAGGAGTTCTCTCCCAGACTGAGCCGGACGGGACTATTAGGCCTATCGCATACTTCTCGAAAAGAATGAGTCCCGCAGAAGGCAATTATGAGATCTACGACAAGGAATTGCTCGCCATAGTACGCTGCTTTGAACAATGGCGACCCGAACTGGAAGGTGCAGCGCATCCGATACGGGTCCTATCTGACCACAAGAACTTGCAGTACTTCGCAACTACGAAACAACTCAGCCACCGACAAGCCCGTTGGTCTGAATACCTGTCCCGTTTCAATTTCAAGATTACTTATCGTCCCGGTCGAGACGGAGGGAAACCGGATGCCCTTACAAGGCGATCCCAAGACGTCCCTGCTCAGGAAGAAGCGCGAAAGGCCCGACACCAAACTCTGCTCCGACCCGAGCTATTTTCGGACCTCAACCTGAACGAA